CCCATTTGAAAAAGCGTTTGTCTACGGCAGAGCTGTGCTACCCTCTGAACAGGTTACTTGGGGGGCTGGGAAGGCAGAAAGCAAAGGAAAACTTTGCATTTGGGAACTATGTGTATCTGGGAACAGATGAACACAGCAAGCAGTCTCCTTCCAGTTTGCGTGTGCTGGTGTTACGGCCTGGATGGAGAGTGGACTCCGTGTGTGTCCAGCTGGGAGGGACAGTGATTCTGTGACACCGCTGTTAAATTCAGTATCGTTGCATGTTTCAAAGTGACTTCTATGATTTTTTTTTTTTTTCCAAGAATTAAACTTCATTTTCACCCTCTTAACAAGACTGTCAGTCTGGGGAATTGTGTGCCTCAGACTTGCCTTTTCCTGCTTGCTGCTGGGAGTCAACTCTTTGGTCTCCTCCTTTCATTGCCCCTGCAGCTGCAGCCGTGCCCTATGGACTTTCACGTGCCTGAGTCTCCCCATTTCTGATCTACAATGCTTGACCCTGTTGTGTGTGGGAACATGATGTAAAACGCATGGAGGCTCGGTTGCCTGGTGAAGCGGTGTGACTTCATCAGAGGACAGGCTGCAGACCTGCCCTTTGGTCCTTGTTTTGCTGAGTTTCCTGGTACCTCTGATTCCCACACCATCCTTTGCTCTGGAAAAATTTACTTCAGGAACAAACTGCAGAAATGCATCTCATAACAAACTTAATATGTTTATGGATTAGCCTCCTTTTTAGTTAGAGACAGGTTGATCAGGCAAGACTTGTTCTGTGTGTTGCTGTAGAAGAGGCTGGTGGGATGGGAGGTGGGAGCCCTGCTCAGCTTTTCCTCCAGCACCATGCCCCATGGGGAGGCTGCAAAATGGCAATGCGTTCCCCAGGGAAGGGTGCTGCAGAGGTTGTGCCCACAGAGTTCCACCTTCCAGGTCAGGGTTTCCCTCCAGCTTTCCCACCTCATAAATGTGCTTGGGATCAAAATTCAGTAACACCTGTAAAATGGCACAGGATCAGCAAACACAAATGCTTTGAGAGAGGTGTTTTACTACTTCAGTGTTTCAGTCAGTCACTGAACACTAGAGGTCTGATACAGTTTTTTTTAAATAAAAAAGGTTTCACATACGCTGTACTCCAGATTTCACTTGGATGGCTGCATTCCTGTTACCAGAAATAAATTTGCCTAAGCCTTCATCTCCCCACAGGGGGCTGTTATCACATGGCACCATTCTATTTTTCTGGCCTTATCTCTTAATTAACTAATCTCTAATAATGCTCTTTATTTTTTTTTTTTCGAATAAGTGTTTGTTGTCTGTCCCCATTTTACATTGATTATGGTAAAAGCAGTGGTTTGGTTTGGTTTGTTCTTTTACACAACAAACAAGTCAGGTGAAAATAATTGTTTTGCTGTGATCCCTTTTTGTTTGTCAGCCTTGAAAATCTTCCCTGACCATCAGCTGGAAGAGTGTGGTGCCCATGAGCCCAATATAGCATTCCCATGCTCTTAGCTAAGCTGCACACATGCATTTGGCTGGTGTTATAAAATGTCCAAGCTCATGTAATGCATGGAGGCTAATCTTATCAATTGTATTAAGGCTACTTAGGAATTAATAGCTTTAAGGAAGCCTGTTTATATTTTCTCCTTTAAAGCACTTTAGTCAATGTTCTATGTCCCTTCAAATAAATGTCACCAGTAAAATAGTGCACTTTTTGTCATTTTTTTTTAAAGATAAATGATGTTTCTTAAACATTGATACTTCAAGGCTTTGGGCTGGCTCTCAGATCTGAGTACTAGAATTTAAGCCGGTAATCCATATGGAGGTACCTAAAAAGAAGTGGCCCAGTTTGTATTAGTTAAGCTCACATCCTTCTGAAGTTTATTAGTTTAAAAATCAGGGCACAGCTCTGGGAGTTGTTGGATTGCTGCAGGCAGCTTTGGCTACGTGAGCTTCACTACTTAAATTTAAAATAACAACAATGCTTTCTTTCGAATTTCTGTTGCAAGTTAGATTTAAATGGGGTAAAAAAGAGGCTAAACACACAATTTAGCTGATGATCAAAGATCCTGAGGATGCCAGTGGTTTCACTTGTTGAGTGCTTCTAGAAGCTAAGGCCCATGAAGATGATGTAATTGAGATGTGCTACAAGAGGATACTACTGAAAAGGTCCAGTAAATTCTGTTCATAGTAAGAAGCAAGTGATTTAGGAGTCTGTTTGCACATCCTGAGCTTAGCTGGGCCCATGGGAAGAGGGAGGTATGCTTTATCTCAGAATGTTATATGGAGGAGGGGTGAGCTTCCCACTTAGGAATACATGAAATGGGTCCAAAAATGAATTCAGAAACAAAAATTCAGCAGTAATGCAAATTAAAGAAATCTGTATTAAATTGTATATATTTAAACATTTTCTTTAAAGAGTTCTTTACTTGCAACATAATTTTTAACACCTAAATTTACATTTGCAGGCAGCAGAGATATCTTTTTCTAGAACAGCATTTGCAATGTCACAAGAAAGTATATTTAAGATTGGATGAATGATATATTACATGTATTATTTTACAAAGCAGTCATGTTACAATCTGGTAGTACTCATAAGATGTTCCAAAGATCTTCATTAACCAGGAGGCTTTATTTTAGACAGCATTAGCATATACACTTTATTTGTACAAAACCCTGATTTCGGTACTAGTCTTTATAAACCTGTCTCAGATGGTCTCTCTCTAGCGGTCTAATACCTTGAGACCCTTGCTCTGGGAACTGGCTTCTCCAATGTGGCATTGAAAGAATAATTTGACAATTTGTTATGTTCCTCTAGCAATAAACAGAAAAAAAAAAAAAAAAAGAGACCACACATAATTGGAGTTGTGTCTAAAGCAATGGCCTAAGCCAGATTTCTAGGGCAGCAATAAATGTAGACCTCTTTGAAAAATCAAATGTCTAGTCAAGTAACCAGTATAGATCACAGCACACTGAAGCCTCACAAGGAAAAACTCTAATTAATCCTTGTAATGGAGCTCCTATCCATATGTGACTCCTCCAAAAAGCCCTTCTCTGATACGTATGGCCACATCATGCACTGTCCACAATCCTGTTCTCTAACGGACCAGCTGAGAGGAGCAGCTGGTCATAGCGATGTCTTACTAAGAAGGAAGGAGTTGGTCTGGAGTTTGTACAGTTCTGCCATGCGGAGTGTGTCTCAGCACAGCAATAGATGATAGGCTGTGGTGAATAGCAAGTTGGCTTTAGCATTAGTTGTCCTTCTTCTAGTTAGACTTATGCAGAAAAGAACAGAGCTGACTTTTTAATTCGTTATGGTAACTAGATTCATTATCGTAACTAAATTCATTATTGTAACTAAGGTTAAAAGCTTTGACCAGCTTTGAAAAAGTGAAAGGATGCCACAAATACCCATCAAAATCAAACCTGGCTTGTAAATGGCCTGAAGCAGTCTGGCCACCAAGATGCAGACTATGGCTTGATGTACAGACACGTCCCACTGTGAGCTGGTCCATCCATCCTAGGAGTTTGAACAAAAGTTGGAGGAGCTGAGTGCTGCTGGGGCAAGTGCACAAGTGATTAACAATGAGAACTAACGGGCTGTGCAATGATTAGGCAGCTAAAATGTGGCTTCCTTTGAAGACCAGCCACCAGCCAGGTGGAAAGGACCTGCTGAGAAAACTCTCTGAGGGACACCGCAGGGAAGTAGAGGTGTTGCACAGCCGGAGTGAAAATAAGTGTGGTGCCTGGTTTGTAGCTGAGGGACTGAGATGTCTGCGATGGTTTGTGCAGGGGGCTGGGGCTCGCTGTCTCGGGTGTTAGCTTCTCTTTAGCTGAAATTATCTGGCAGCTGCAGATAAACTCAGGGGGATGCTCTGCTTCCTTACTGGAGGCCACACACCA